TGTATACCACTATCTTTTGACAATATGGATGCAGTGTGTGCTCCATCGGTACGGTGTGCCGATCAAGCCTCTGATTCATGCCAAAAGAATGGTGAACATGAGAAGGTTTGTGTATTTGGCTGCTTTGTGGTTACAGCTGCAGGTCAAGTAGTACAAGTAAAAATCAGGTGGGTGTTGACAGAAAACCCTACCAGGTGATCATGAAGGGGGATGATTCAATGTCTGGCAGGATGACATAATGAAGACTACGTGTTTTCTTATACATGATCTAATCCTTGGAATCCTCCTGAATTCTTTGTTGGAGACTTTAACGCTATTTATTTTTATTTTTTGCAGTAGCACCTTAAAGAGAGCTTGGATAATGTGTGTAATGGTAACAAAACATGCACACACAAGAAGATGAACACATCCATACATGTAGAAGTGGGTTTTTGGCAGGTTGGGGATAGGGCATGGCCTCGGCAGCTGTGCCAGATGACTCAAACATCCAGAACCACATCAGCAAATGTTGTACATGTAACACACATACATGCATACATGTACACACAGCTGTAGCTGCTTGTATCCTTTTTTGTTTGAGCCATTAATTAACATTAACTTGCTTTGGGATTATAAATTTAAAAAAGCTAAAAGCAGTTTTGAATTTTAAAAAGTTTATACCTATAACATGAATTTACTGCCATTGCTGCTAAATTTGTTGTCTAGTTTATTTTTGGCTCATGGTCTTGCCATCAAGATGGCATAGCTTAGCAAAAAAATAATAATACTGAACCTGTTTCCTCCTACAGGAATTATTAAAAGTGCAGCTGCTGGGTTTGTCTTGAAAGTGACATAATAACACCACCTTTCCTGAGCTGACTCGTCAGAAGTCACAGGGGTCAGTACAGCTTAGTCTGGATTATTTGTTCAGTTCTCTAAACATCTGCTGCAAGTGACTGAGCGTGTGTGTGCACGTATGTATATGTTAATGGTTGTACTCATGGGTGTAATGCTGCTGTCAACACTATCTAATCATAAATTACTCTCTCTGAGATAAACAGTGAAGGCTTTGAGGGGGTAAAAATGCATTTGCATCCAGTAAAGATGTACAAACTGAATCTTTATGGCTCCATTTTGGGTTAAGGGTAACACATTCAATCAAGCCATTATGTATTGTGTGGTCCTTGGCCAAACCCAGTGTGTTACAGCCTTAATGAGTGTATGATGAAAGATCTTTGTGTGTACAAACTTAATGGTTAAGTGGTAATGGAATGCACAATCATGAAGATGACAGATCTGAACTATGTTTAGCCTCATGTAAAATGAGTGTTAATAAGTATATAATTATTACACAGTACAGTGTCCTGTGTTTATCAGTTAATAAGTATATAATTATTACACAGTGCAGTGTCCTGATTGGTTAATCCTGTCAGCAGTTTCCTGCTTTTGAGTCAACTACCTCCAAATCCAAATGTAACTACACAGTTCATTACAGACATTGACATTTAACCAAGTAAACCATTAGTCAATGTGGCAAAGTACTTTGTATGTGGACATGAACACGACTTCATGAGTCATGGCTGTTTATGATAAACTGCCTGAGAAGACAGCACACACTCAGGTCGGGGTCTGTATGTATTAGTCTGCACATACACAATGAAGAGACTGAGGGCATGATGAGACAAGACTGATGAAATGTAGGGAAGAACAAGACCTGTGCAGGGAGAGACATCAGCAAATGCACATGAGAAAAGATTCTGGGAACATGAAGAAACAATAGGACCATAAATTATTTCACTCTTATCAGAGAATCTGTTTTGATATTCTGGACCCATATATCTAATCAGGCGAGGTTATCTCACTCTTGTTAACTTTCCTATTTTTCTAATGAAAGCCAGAGAATCATATTTTGCATAATGTACCTTAACATTCACATATTCCTTTCTTTATATTTTCATGTCCTACTGGAAAAAATAACACATGACTTGTTTTTACAAAAGGATAATTACAACAAATAAAACCTTACAGAGTTCAATATGAAGGATTTAACAACATGGCTCATACTGTATATCTGTCATTTCTACACATGTAATAAGCAGTACAATCCCAAAGAGAAACCATCAGGTCAAAGATTATCATACTGAGTGAGAAATATCAGCTATAATAGGCAGCAAAGATTATTGTCCAAACATGGAAAAAAAAAATACAGAAAAGTAGGTGAACAGATGGATCCTTTCCGATGTTGTGGTTTGGGACTACTTCCTGTTGTGTACATTTCCTGTTTCATACCTTCTCACCTGCCTCGCCTTTACTCAGGCCATTGATTACTACTTATTGCCTTCACCTATTGCTCGTTATCGCCTGGTCCCTAGCCTTTATATTCTCCTCACTTCCCTCAGTTAGTTGATGGCTTGTCTGCTTGCCATGTCTGCCTTTGTGCTGACCTGGTTGTGACTATATCTTGGTTTGTCGCGTTTAAGTTTTGGACTCTTGCCTCGTCTGTTTTGGACTTTGCCTACTACCTTGGCTTTTTGGTTTGTGCCTTTCAGCTTGTTATTCTTATTACATGTGTTTCCAGTTCCTTGTATTGCTGCCTGACTGTGCTGTTTAATTTCTTTAAATATCTTTGTGTTACATTTTGTCAGGTAGCACTTTTGAGTTGACCTGTTTGGATTTTTGGTTTTTGTGATATTTTTATTAAACCTTGTTTATGAATATCAGTTCGTGTCTGCACTTGGGTCCTCCCTTAAGCCTGAACCTGAAATTCATGTCCCGCATGGACCCTTGCAGACATGTAGATGCAGAAAGCATGAATTAGCCTTGACAGTGGGTGTGTCTGTGGACGTCACCCCACTGGACACTGGAGCCTCTCATCAAATAAACATGGACAGGAGTCAAAATCTGAATGATGTGCACACACACAGATGGTGAGATTTTGATCTATTGAAACATCTTCCACTATTCTTCTCTTAAACATTCTTCTGTCATATTTGAGCCCCCCAAAAAACAATGGATCATTGTTTCACTCTCTTTGAGATAATATTTCAGTGAGAGTCTGAAGAATGATGTCATCATTACAAAATAAGAAATGCACACACACACACACACAGTGGTATAATGAGAAAAAGGTGCAAGCAGCACAATGCCTTTTAGGGCTGCCAGACTATTGGTCTGCTCCTCATACTGTTCCCTTCCCCCACGTTTTCCCCCTACATCTGTTTCCCAAACTTGGGAAGGGACCTCAGAGAGAACAATATCTGGGTCAGAGTAAACTCTCTCTTTCTGCAGGCATGTGCGCACGCAGGCATGAATATGTGTACAACATGCCACAGTCATCAACTGTATGAAAACTATGACTGTTCATTTTTAGCTGTTGTGCACAATAATTAACGGAGCTCATCTAAGCTCAGAGGTCCACATAGCATCAAAGCTTTCAACCACATCTTACAGGCATTTTGTAACCTCTGGCATTTTGTAGGTCTCTGGCATCTGATGTGGAATACCTTTTGAACCTTCTTCTGATGTCCACAGTGTCATCATTCCTTACCAGTGGATCTTGTTGCTTGCTTCTGTGCCAGGGTCTGTGCTGTCTCCCTGTGTAGCGTTCACACTTAATATCAGATATACAGTAGTACCAATTTTGTCTTCACAGGGATTGTCTTGCCACTGCTAGTGAGATGTCCTGAGACATCAGATGGCCCCACCAGGACAGAATTGTTGGACCCTGTGGTGCTGTTTTTGTCCCTTGTGGTGTTGATTTGGCACGGGTCTTAAAAATCCACGAAGCAGAGATGTAACAGATAAAGGTGCCATCTTTCTGTACTTCTCTATCTCTTCTAAGAGGACATTAGACCTTTGGGAGTTTCATCAAAATATTAGATACATCGACCCTGAGACAATCTGCTTTGTTCCTCTTTCAAACCTGGTGACAAGCCTGTGTTCACTAGCTGGGACATGTCCTCACTAAATACTGGGAAGATGAAATGAGGGGGAAATGCTTGTGTACACTGAATGATTGTACATTTCAATTTGGGGAAGGCTAAGGAGGTCCATGCTGCTCTGTGCACCATGATCCTCTGCCTGGTTTTATTCTTTTGAAAAATGCCATTGCAAGCACTGCTACGCTGACACAAAAAATGTCAATCTATTCATAGTGTTACTGAATAACTTTATTTCTCAGCATTTCACATCATGTTTGAAGAAAAAAAATACTGAATATCCATTTAATCTAACCTTTCTGTGGGGTGGGGGACTTCAACAGCTGTATCATAGAAGTTTCAGGAGCTTTGTTCCTCCAGCAGAACATGAGGAAATGCTGCCACCTACTGGACAAAACTGCTAACACCTTGGCAAATAGTGCCCAATACAAAAGTGTGAATGAGACTGACTGAACACGCCCAGCTGCTGGACTGAGCACATTCAGACTTTATTAGTGACACAGACGAGTTCACAACCCTGTGCTAGTGCAACAGAGTGGAGTGAAGAATCAAAGTCCTTTGGTGCAGTAACACAGTACAATAGCTTAGTTACTTTCTACCAGTGAGTTAATGAATGTAGCCCTGCGATGGACTGGCGACCTGTCCAGGGTGTACCCCGCCTTCGCCCAATTGCCAGCCAGGATTGGCTCCGGCCCCCCCGTGACCCCATTCAGGGACTAAGCGGTAGAAAAGAGTGAGTGAGAGTGAGTGAGTTTAAATTGGAATGACTGGGGGTTGGGGATCGATGTTCTGAAAAAAACTGTTTTCTGCTGCTCAAAACAGCTTGTTTAAAAAATGGAAGAAATGAACATGAACTAGCTCATATATTGGGGCAGCAAACCTAGTTCAAAATTTAAAAACAATGAAGGTGAACTGGTTCATTTTAAAGAGGGGAGTGAACTTTGAGCTAGTTCCTGCCATATGTGATATTGCATAACATTGTGCGTTAGCCTATTAAAATGGGATGTGCTCTGTCATCAGCAGAAGGATATTAATATGCAATACAAGGTCACGTGTTTGAACACATTCTTGTTCATACTGGAAGGGACAGGGCAGCGTTAGAGCTGCGGGTACAAGTAGAACAAACCGAGAAGCAGCAAATGAAGATGACACTCAAATGTTGGATACTGGGTTTGTCTCTGCTGATGAACACTGATGTGGAAACTTCTCATGGGTGAGTTTGTGTGGGTTTACAAGTTAAATTTTGTCAGCGTTAAAACTTAACAACTGTATCTGGGCAATTTTAGTGATCGATTGTCCTCAGTTGTGTCACGACTGTTAATATTTAAGTTTAGGACCCAAATGCAGAGAGTACAGATGTGAAAACCAGGACTTTATGAAAGTAAAGATAACAAAGATAAAGAAAAAACTGAGGCACATGAGAAAATAACTAATAAATCCCACTGTGCAAAATATATAGTGCTTAACTATAGTCCATAAATGAGGGACATAAGGGCAGAGTCCAGCTGGCAAGTGGTTGAGGAAGCACAGAGAAAAGGGATGACAGATGGCGCACACAGTCAGAGGGCAGCAGTCATAAGAATCACAGGGGGAACCTTGTTAAGCGAGCCAGCAGTGAGTGCAAATAAAAGACTGGCTTTTATGCTGGAAAGCGATTGTCCAAACATGACATGGGTGAAGGGAATGATGATGAGTGTGGTGAAGCTGGGGCAGAATACCAGGGACCAGAACAGGGGAAGAAGTGTCAAAACAAAAGTCCAAAGCAGGAAGTAACAAAGAAACTGTGACAAATGGCTTGCCAGTCAAATGAATCGATGCTTTTATCAATACCTCTCTGTATAACCCTTCCAATCAGTTATATTTGCATTTTTGAAGTTGTTATGTTTAAATTGGACATTTCTTAATCCAGAGTAAAATAAAGCAGCCTATATGTGTTGATATATTGGAGGTTACGTGTGTTTAATCATGTGAGCAATACATGTATTAGTAATCCCATTCATGATGACGTTTACAGCTCAGTGGAGGGCTCGGAGTCAACATGGAGTTATAATTACACAAAATACCACCCCATGGATGAGGTAAAAATCCTTTTTAAACATCTGTAGTCATGTTTATCACAGACCAAATTAAAGCACTAGAAACAAACCATTATTTTATTAGAAATATTTTGTGGGTTGTCTCACACCCTTTGTTTTTTCTAAATTTATATTTAGACTTCATATATACTGGCCAGAGGAACTATTAATATCATTATAAAAAAGAATAATGCTGATTATGTTGTGATATAGATATACAAGTGGATGGAAGATGTGGTGCGAGGGAACCCTGAGCTAGTTTCCTCTGTTCCCTATGGACGCACCTATGAAGAAAGAAACATCACACTGCTGAAGGTAACACAAGTCCTTTTGCTTGTCTGCTTGGGAGGTGAATTCCAAATAGCAACATCCGGTGGCATTCATAGGACAAAGCTGTAGAAAAGTCTGTGAGACTTATTTTTTTGACATTTAGTGGACACATGGAAACATTCTGCCTATAGTCTTATACATAGTGACTTATTATTTGTGATTGACACAGAGCTAAAAAGCTTCAGACTATTATTTTAGAACTGCTCACTCATGTATATACAGCCCCTTTAAAATGGAATACATGTTACATGATAGTTATTTTAGATCAAAGACTAGATTTACAAAAAAACGACTCGAGTAAGGAAGTAAAACGGCCGCCCTGTGGGCCCTGTCCAGTCCTGTTTCCCGTGAGAAACCAATCATGTATAGTCTTATTATTTATAGACTGTAATCCCCTGTCATGCCCTATGGAAGAGGACTGGGGCCACTGTAAAAATAAATAAAATAAATTAAAATAAATAATTTGAGTTCTGACTTTTAACTCAGAATTTTGACATTGACTCAGAATTCTGACTTTCTGAGTGACTTTGTTCTTTGAATAGAAATACTTGTGGTTGGTGTTTGCATGTAGGGGAAAACAGTGGGCACTGGTTTAGGCCTGCTTTTACCTCGTGTTTGGATGGGTCGCATCTTAAATAACATGGTAATACATGAGTCTATAATTCCATTTAACCAGTGTTCAAATACAAACCAAAATCAGGTCACGTTGTGTGTCTCCAGCTGGGACTAAAGAACCCAGAGGGCAGAGAGAAGAAGGTTATATGGGTGGACTGTGGTATCCATGCTCGGGAGTGGATCGCTCCAGCCTTCTGTCAGTGGTTCACCAAAGAGGTTTGTACACCCAAACATAATTTAAGCACAGAGAATTCATTTAAGCATGTGTCTTCTGACATGTGAGCGTTTGTTCAGATTGTGCACTCATATAAAAATGACAAGAAGCTGGAGCAGATGCTGCAGAACCTTGACATCTATGTTACTCCTGTGATCAATGTGGATGGATACGTATTCACCTGGGTCAATGACAGTGTGAGTCCTCAGTTTTTATCATTTTTTCAATAAATGCCCCTAAGAAGACAATGACCTGTTATGACTGACTTGCCCCCATCATGTGTTTACTGAGTGACAGGATAATGAGTGGCTTCACAAACTTTCACAGTGTCTGAAACTATGTGACCTCTGCCTCTGCATCTACGTGTTGTTTTCATGCAGACTCGTCTGTGGAGAAAGTCTCGCTCTCCCCCTCCTTCAAACAGTAGCTGTTATGGTGTTGACCTCAACAGAAACTTCAATGCCAACTGGGGAAGTGAGTTGCATGCTTTCAAGGGTCATAGTGTGACTAGCCCTCATTTGCCAACCATGTCAGACGACCATATGTAAAACTGTAGAAACCAACTAATGTACTTGTGTTATTTCTTTCACCAGCGGTTGGTGTGTCATTGGACAGTTGCCAAAATAACTACTGTGGGACGGCACCAGTGTCAGAGCCAGAGGCCAAAGCTGTGGCAGAGTTAGTTGGTAACTTATGTTCTGTCTATGAAAATACAGTAAAAACACGTTTTTATAATTGAAAAAAGAATTAAGTGTGAGGTAATTATAAAAAACATACATTCAAATGAAAGAAGAACTCGTTTAAAAAATACTGAGGTGGTGCTTTGCTTTCATTTACATTCACTTGTATGTTTAAGAGGATAATGTTGATATACCATCTTGATTTTAAACCCTTGTCTGTGTGTCTGTATCTAGGTAGTATGGTTAACAAGGTTTTGTGTTTTCTCACCATCCACTCTGCTGGGCAACTTATACTCCTGCCTTATGGCCACCCGGAGATTTCTGCACCAAACTACAACGAACTGGTGAGTGTGTGCTTCTGTGAATTTTTATGAAGACCAGTAGTAGACCTTCGGGTGAACAACACACAGTGTTTATGAACAACTGAAGGTTTATGTGGATAATATGTGAACTGTGCAGGTTTCAGTTGGTGAGGCAGCAGCAGCGGAAATAAAGAAAGTACATGGGATGGACTACACTGTAGGAACATCTCCACAAGTCCTTTGTAAGACACACACACATGCACACCTGTTCTTTCATGTCATCGCCTGTCCTCAAAGGCTGTTATTAGCATGTCTGATCTGCACTCACTTTGATAAGTCACTTAAATTATTGTTATTCATCTGTGTTGCATTTGGGATCACTGAGTGAGTGGTATACAGTGTATCCTTACTTACTTAGATGTTGTGGATTTGTATCATTTAGTTTTCATGTGTCCTCCCTTCTCCTACGGCATGCAGTACAAACTGAAGTAAAATACTTAGGTGCATTTTCTATGCAAGTTAAATAGTTGGTGTTTGTAACACTTTGCCCTTCTTCCTTTGCATCTTTCTCTGTCCCACCATCCCCCTCAGATCCAAACTCAGGTTCAAGTCGTGACTGGGCTCGTCTCATTGGCATCCCCTTCTCTTATACCTTTGAGCTGAGAGACAAAGGTGAACATGTACAATGTTTAGTCATCAGTCAAGCATAATGTACTTGAGTTAGTATTATTTTGACATAACTACATTGTTCTCCAGGTGAATTCAGCCACCTGCTACCAGAGGAGCAGATCCAGCCAACCTGTGAGGAGGCTTATGCAGGAGCTCTGTCCATCATCACATATGTTCATGACAAGGCTTTCCCTAACACTGCTCCCGCTACAGTGAGGAGCTTCACCACATTTTCTAGGGCTGTTATAACCGTCTGGAGCACTGCTGTGGCCGTGTCTCTCACTACAGGGGTTGTCTTCTAAGAAGGTGAACATCTCAGTCATGCAAGGATGGGCACTTAATATGGCAACCATGCAGATTGCAATCTATTGTGTAGTCTTTCTGAAATTTATCCACTTTTGAAATTCAGTGCTCATTGATGATGTATAATGCAAATAAACATGATGTAGCATGATGGTTGTGTTGTACATGCTTAGTTTGCACAGCAGAGGGCAGTATCACTTTATTGTACACTGCACTGTCTCATCCATGAGCTTCTCTCAACCAGACACATTATTTTATTGACTTTATTTTTTTCATTTTATGCTTTTCTTAGTTTACATACACTATAGTTCCTCCTAAGCTATGAGCATCTTTTTGTTTTGTCTTCACATCTGATTCTCTTCACTTCCAACACGATGGCACCAGATTAATGACTTTAGTCTTTGGCAGTGAAAAATAAAGCTTGGCATTGAAAACAAAACTGTCACTGAAAAGAACAAAACCATAAAAAAGGCAAACAGTGGCATGAAGCATTTGTATTGTGAAAAAAACTACACGCATTAGAAAAAGTATTAATACTGGGAAAAAAATAATCTTATGGTTTTTTGGTAATGTACGTCTTTGTTTTTCAGTAACAGTCTTCAGATTTTTTTGTCGAGCTCAGTGCTTTTCAATGCCAAAGGTTTTTCTTTCAGTTTCACTTCTCTGTGAGTATTTTGGCATAGAGGGGAGGGCGTTGAGGGGCAGGACTAAGGTGAGTGTGACTTGCATGTTCTGGTTCAGATCCATGAGGAGAGGACAGCCCTCTCCCCTGAGCCGCTGCCAAGCATTGCCGCATAGTTACTGCAGCGACCACTTCCGAATTTAGCTGGAGCTCTCAAACTGCTGTGTGTTTCTCTTTACTGGTGTGTTTACTCACAGGAATGAGCTCACGTTTAACTAACTTTATGCTGATGTAGCAGAGGTTTGCTGCAGCAAGTGCACATGTTAGCCACAGGTAGGCTATAGCTAATATAGCTAATATTAGCTGTAAACCATCAGCAGTGCACAGCTGCTTATCAGAGACTTTCTGTGGGATCCTACAGGACTGTCTTCCACATAATTAGAACATCATGTGCAACGGGCCAATGAATTTTAGGTTTGCCTGGAGCGGAAATATGCCAGTACAGTGAAATAGATTGTCTGAGAGCTGCTGTTGAGCTTAGAGAAGCCGTACAACACTGAAACTGGCTTCTGATTCTACAGTTAAGGACGAAGTTACAATACAGAGGGACATTTTCTCTGTTTTATACCTTGGAATGTTGTGAAAGGGTTTTAGACATTTTAGAAAACCCCTTAACACTCAGTGACACCCACTTTTGAATTTGTGAAAACTTTGAGTAACGACAATAAAGGACAAATATACAGTCGTGTATATATATATATATA